CGCCCCCCCGAGCACGGGAGTTTCTCGCCACGCCCGAAGCCAGCGGCCATTACGGAGTTGTGGTCCTTCCCGGTTCGGAACAACCCGAGCCTCTCCTCCAGCGGGGTTAGACACGGCGGTAATTTGGCACGGAATAATTGGTTGCCATGGTAACCGCTGCGGTACAGGTTGAAATCCCCCCTCTCCGCTCCCTTCTCTGACAAGGACCTTCATCTCCGTACGCTGAGCGTCGAACCGCAGCCTGGTTATTTTATGCAGATTTTTCCGGGGGTTTGCAGCATCGATTCCTGCACCAGGGCTTCCGTCAGCATCGCCGCAAACCGAACCAGCTCCACTGCAGCTGGCGCAAGCGAATTCCCGCACGAGCGCGGCCTGGCAGCGCTCCTGCCCCACGCCAACGACAAAGCCACGGGGGACGACGGGGCGTCAGTCCGGCCCCATGTCACAGGCTGGCACCCCGCTCCCACCTTCCTCTCGCAGGGGGAAGGTCCGCTCGCCCCACAAAACTCTGGTGGAGGCGTTTAGGAAAAGGAAGCCCCCCCGTCTGCTATCTCCTCACCCCAACAGCAGCCCAGGTGCCGCTCGGTGCTTACCGACAGCTGCAGCACCGGCTTCTCCCCAGCTTCAGCGGACGAGGGAACAGTGCCACGGGCAGAACCGAGGCTGGTTAACGCTGCCCACACACGGCATTAATTGAAAAAACAAGCACACACTGCTGCTGGGCTCAGGCAGGCCGGCACTGACAGAAAGTGAACAGAGGTGAAAACACCACGGGGACTTATTTTATCTCCCTCCCTGCCAAAAAGCAGCATAGGAAAAAAACGCGTCCAATGATGGAAGAGGCGCAGGGAGGCAGAGGGCCTGAGCCAGCTTTGCGTGGTGTCTGCAGAAACACAAGAACATCACCATGGCCACAAGGGAAAAAAGCTTCCTCAGGGCCACAGCTTCCGCAAAAGGCTGGCAGGCAACGCAATGCAGGATGGAAACGGCTTGCTTTAAATCAGCAGCTCCCCATGCTCCCACCAGGAGCAACAGCACCCCGATGTGCTGCCTCGTCCAGCCAATCTGTTTTTACAGATCCCATGGGGAGCAGCTGGAGCAGATCAGCATCGTTCAGCCCTGGTTCGGCAAGGGAAGGGGTGGGGATGCGCCTCGCTCTGCCAGGTGAGTGACATCTCCCCAGCTGCAGCGTCACTGGGGAAGGAAGGGCTGAGGCTCCCCCACCGTTCACCCTTCCTTCCCAGCAGCCCATTTGCATTTAGCCAGCGAAAGGGTTGGCGCACAAGATGTCTGCTCTTGTCTTCGCATCCAGCGCTGCCCGGGGATGGGAGAGCGAGAGGCAGAGCCTGTGTGGGCCAACGCGGCAGCGAGCCCAGCTCCGGGACCACGCCGTGTCTGAGCCGGGTGCCCCGGCAGAGCGCAGGCAGCACCAGGCAGCCTTCCCGACCAGCCAGCAGACCCCAACAGGAAGGCCCAATCCTCGAGGACACACCGCCTCGTCTTTGTTTTCCTACAGAAGGCCCAACAGCCCTTCCACATGCCAAATCCTAGAAGCCTCTGTGCTGTCTCGCTTGCAGAATGCCCTGGATGAACGCGGCTGACACCGACATCCGCAGAAACCTCCAAGCCCTGTCCCGGTTGCGCCCCCAACGCGGTGGTTTGCATCCCCCTCCTCAGAAATATGAGCCCCAGGCGCCGTGTCGGTACAGGACGCGCCAGAAGGATTTGCTGCCTGCCCCCAGAGACAACGGCAAGGAGGTGCTGCACTGCAGCGTGGGGAAGGAGGGCTTCAACGAACAGGGATGGACGGCACCATTGCACACGCCAACACATGCACCACAGCCGAGCCCCTCCCGAGGCGGCGGGCAGCCACATCGCTGCTGGAAGGCGTGGTGGCCGCTTCTCCCCCCAGCTGCTCTCCAGAGAGCGCTCGTCGGGCACACTCCCACCCTAGAGCACCCGAGCTGGACAAGAACTGCTCTCGCCCTGGCGCTGGATGACCTCCCAGGGCCAGGAGAGCACCGGCTCGGCGAGGGAACACCCCGATAACGCCCCCCCTCTCCATCCACAGACACCCGAGAGGTGCTCGCCAGCTGCCCTCAGTGCCGCGAGTAGCCTGCCTCCGCGCCACGGCTGAGAGGAGCCCCCCAGCCCGGCGTGAGAGCGTGCAGCGTTACCTCCTTCTTCCTCCTCTTGATTTTGGCAGCCTTGCTGTCTTTCAGTTTCTTGGATTTCTTTTTTTTCTGCACAGCGACTTGCTCTTCTGCAAAAAACTCATCCAGTCCTTCCAGCACCCCATCATCTTCTTCTGGGGACAAAAAGGACAGCTCACGCGGCTGGATTGCACAGGCACACAGGACACCGCGTTCACGTTTATCCCTCTCAGAGGAGCACGCCCAAGCGGCAACATCAGGCTGCGAGGACGGCGCTCTGTGGCCTCTCCCCGAGGCCCTCGCGCCGGCAGCTGATCCGCCACTGCCCCTCGAGGGAGCCCCGGCCCGGAGCCGCCTGCCCCGGCACTTCTCCTGCCCAGCTCCTCGCTGCCGCTCGCCCACGAACACCCGAGGTTTTGGCAGTCTGTGTTTTGCTCTCGGGAGACAGGGGCACAGGCGCGTCCCGGAGCGCTGCCTGCTCCTACTGATCTGGGTCCGCGGGTAGTTAGGGAGCACCAGGCTTTTACCTTTCAGAACTCCAAGTCGAGCCCATTAAAACGGATTCAACGGAAGGTAAACGAGGATGAGGAAGGCCTCACGTGGAAGACGGGTGCCACGGCTCACGGGAGGTTGTTCTGCTGTGGCTCCGCGCTCGGGCAGCGCCGCGGGCACCCGGCCAGGCTGCGCACGCCAGTGCGGGGACCCTGGCCCCGGGCAGAGCCACCGATCCCAGCACAGGCCCTCGTCTTCCCGGCAGCGTTACCTCCCCGAGGCCGGCACTCACCAGCGAGCCCCGGCACCCTGTCCAGCCTTCGCATCTCTTTAAGGCCTACGTCAGCATTTTTATTTTTAATTTCTGAGCTTATACAGTAATGACACTCCAGAGCCGCTGGGACACCTCTCGTTTGACTGCAAGCCGTGCCCGTGGAGGCTCCGGCAAGGCGGGCACCGGAGCTCCACCGAGTCCCTGGGACGGGCGGGAGCGGGCAGTGCCGGGAGCCAGCCCCGGCCCCGCTGCAGGAGCGGGTTCGGGAGAGCCCCTCGGCCAGGCGAGGGGCCGGCACCGGGGGAAGGACCGAGAGGAAACCGCGGCCGCGCCGGGGTGCC